CAATCTATGTATACACCGCCTCGCCCCCGTCCCACGTCTGCTAAATAATATAAGTTGGGTCCAGATCTAGGCTTCCCGATTACAGATCCAGCCGAGAGATTTGGATTTGGCTGAGCCAGTCTCCTTACTCATCCCCAACTCACGATGCTGCGCTTCCAGTTTCCATCCCTCCACTTCTTTCTGAACCTACATCTAGGTGTACTAAAAAGCAGGCCAGATCCAGATGATACACCGCCTCGCTCCCGCCCCACGTCTGCTAAATAATCAAATTTGGGTCTCCCCCCCCACCTCCGAGTATCTAATTAATTCAAGGAGAAGACATTCAGGGCTTGAAATAGACTGCGGCACCACGGCAATTTGCCTTGGTGCCTTTGCAATTTGCCGCAAATAGTAACTGCGGCAATTTTTGCCGTGCCCTTGTTTTTTTGTTTAAAAAAGTGACGTCATAAAAATAAATCAATATTCGTCCGTGCTGTCACTTGTGAAAAAAAATTTAAAAGGAGAGAAAGTTATACAAGCCAACAAGCGTCTTGTCGAGTTCGTTTGCCACCATGATCGGTCAGTGAACCTGCTCACATCACAACTTAATCACAAGATAGCAGCCCTACGCTAGGCCCCGGCATCATGTGAACACCGGCTGCTGTTGGGGTCACAAAAGTTCATGCAAAGTCTGAAAGCCGCGAAGTATGGCCCTCCAGAATGGGGGGAATTATTGATTTCATAAAAAAAAAAATACACACATAGAGAGAGGGGGGGTGTTATGAAGACATCATGTCTGAAATCCGGTTTCGTCAAGACTCGTTTCGTGCAAAAACAGGTTATTATAGGCCGGGAAGATTGAAGAATACCGGACCACACGTACATTATTGCGCAAGAAAGTGGGGTAGGTGGGGCGGGTGGTTGGGGTGGAGGAGGGGTTCAGGGGGGTTTCCCCCCTGACAACATTTTAATGAACGCAGTGGCTATTTTTACGGCGTGCCGTAAAGATAGCCTCCCACTCCCAGTGAGTCCCAGGCTATTTTTACGGCGATCCTCGAAAAGCGACCCTACTCCGCCTCTCATGTACGTGACATGCCTCAATGTATTAGATCTAGGCCTATAGGGGCCGTTCAAAATGTAAACTTACACCTCAGAGGGGAAAAGGTGTCTTGGCTTCTGTAAGAATTTTAAAGTGGAAGATTGGGTGGGGAGGTGAGATGAACGTTTTGCTCATGACTGGGAAGAAAAGGTAAAAGAAAAAGTGGATAAATGTCAGTAACAAGACCCAGATCTGCATGATCACTGCAGATCCCCGTTGTTTTTTTTTGTTTTTTGTAGTTGTTTTTTTTTTAGGGGAGGGG